TTCCCACCTTATCAGATCCTTCTCCAATACCTAAAGACTAATTAAAAAACAAATACAAAGGTAACTTCTCTTATATGAGCATTTTCAGTCACAAGCTTGGATAAAAGAAGAGGGGTTGAGGTAGGTTCATGGCAATCGGAAAAATAGTGGCTAGTTTGAAATTGAGGCAAAGTTAATTCATTGATTAAAGGTAACATGGATGTGATACTAGAGACTTACACTATTTAAAGTCATAAATCTCTCAAAAGTTAACTTTATCTCAGCTTTATACCTACTTTTATAACTTATCTTCATGCCATATCTCATTCCCAAGTCCAGCCAAATAAGGACACTTCAAAAGGGAAAGTGGAAATTTTCTTTATGTTGGTAAAACCTAGTGAGATTCTACCCAACCAATGTACTTCTATTGTCAGTGAAAGCAGTTCCTAATTCTAAAGGCTATCTTACTACTAATAGCGAGTATTTTGAGTAATCCCACTTGTTAACTATGGTGAACCTATCTGAAGTATGACATAGTTCCGCAGGATCTAAGTTCATGTTATCTAAGTTGTCACATAGGCCTAAAACTTGCGACATTCTCCATCCTCAGGTCATCCATGTTTTGAACCTTTTTCTTTCCTTCGAGGAACTCAACAACGAGAGATTGAAACCAGCTTAGTTTGGTCACTAGTTATTGATTGTATCAGTAGCTCAGTGTATTAAATGAGCAGGTAACATCATGACTTAGGAGATACCCTTTCTCAGGTCCGCTCCTCCTTTCACTCTAATAGAATCTGATATGTTAGATATAACCAAACTAAATATGCGCCACTTACTGAGTGCAACCTTCTCCGTCCAAAATTATCCTCACATCAGGCCACACATAAGAACATAGTGCAAAAAGTCCACCCACCACCATTACCCTCTCAATCACAAACAACAACAGTTTGTTAATTGACTTGAGACACAACATCTGCAAATAATACTAATACTATCATGTCAAAGGTTACCAAGTGTGTGCAACAGAAATTTTACCTTTGACTCAACAGGTGGTGAAACATGAAATGAGCTCAAGGGACGTTTGCCATCATCTTCTGAGGAACAGTCAGAACATAAGAAATGCTCTAATTTCTTTGCTTCTTCAATGGTCATACCCATACAAGAGGGATGGAACCTGCAATAAAATTGCGCGGAAAATGAGAAGACTTTCTTATAGACACAGTTATCAGATAATCATAACACGGACAATTAGATTAAGATAAACAGACTTCATAACAACTCAGGCCTCCTAACATACAGATGCTGAATAATGCAGCCATTTCACCCAAAGCCAATGGAGGCAATTAAAAAGACGAGAACATTTTCACTTTCCCTGATTCACATTCCACACCATACTGATGAAGTTACACTTCCTTTTTTTAGTTCTATGCCATATCATATAAACAATACAGTCCTCAAGTATTGCTTAACCAATGTGACGTTGCTGAACTCATCATAGAGCCTTGAAACCACATGTAATTTTGACATACAAGATTTCTGGCACCATCAGAGCTTTGCATCCAATTCATAAGATATAAAGACACCAATTGGATCTAGATATTTTAGTCAATCATTTTAAACTTAACGTAAACTTGTCACTTTGTCAGGACCCATGTGTCTTCTACGTGGGCACTTGGCAACAAATCCAGATTCTGGTGGAACTTCCATATGATATAATATTGTATCTGTATACCTAATAATGCCCCACAGCAATATTTTTCACTTCAGCAATGACATGGACATAGACGGGTACAGTACATATGTATACACATGCGTGGGTGATATCAGCATTCAAACTCAAATTTCTTATTTAAGTTTGCCTCAACTGGATTTTTAACAAAGGGCAGTCGCAGCTCGAATTTACATGGATCAGCATTTCATGCTTACATGATACACAGGAATTTCATCTACAAGACTACCTGAAATGCAAGTAAAATATCATGACAGTTATAAGTCTGCAAAATGTAATATTTATGTATGTTTGTTGTGCACCTGATTGAAATAGTAAGATAATGTAGATAGTGGACAGTTAAAAGGCAATACAATTTAACAATCCACTTTACAAGATAAAATATGCACGAACGAACCAACTAAACTTGCCCCGTATGCTGATATACGAGAAAGGGGGAAAGATGCAATATTTGTTTCCTTTTCAAGCTTTGAGTCCTTGATGCGGACTGTATATTTATTTGCCTTTTTCGCTGCTTTCGATCTAAACTGAAAGTAATTGCACATATAAAGATATCCTTTTATGTTCAACTAGAGCATTAAATGGAGCTATGCTTGTTGACTTCCATGCATACAAGCAAAAAAGACATGTTCATGTGTAAAGGAGATTAATTTTGTCGACATTGTCAGTTTACCAGTCTTTACATCCTTCACACTGCACCATCAGATCATCAGGGTTGTAGGGCATCTCACATTTACAATACCTTCAAAATAAAAACATCCCAAAGTATCCAGGTGTTAGTAAACACTACGAGCATAACTTTCAAATTCAAAACTAAAAATGCAAAATATAGCTCTCATGTTCTGGAGCAAAGCTAGTAGAAACTCACACAGCGACGCGGTCAGGAGTAAATCCCCCTGTGGCAGCTTTGTACTCGAACCTACAAAAGTAATCCTCAGGGCCCACATTCTCCAATTTGGTGTAGTTCTTAAAAGAGTGCACTATGCACTTCCCTTCAATGGTGTGTGCACTTTGCATATCGAAGTGATCTGACAAGAACAGCTCTTTGGCCCCATGGAATTGTCTGCGACCACCAATAGACTCCTCAGGTCGGTAGTACCATCTAACTTTGACCTTCACATTGTTCCGGTGATCAGACTCAAGCTTCTCTACTCTTGCCACGTACGGAGGTTTATCAGAATCAGATGGTCTCATCAACACACAATCACCAGCTGAGAAAGAAAGTTCAAAGCAGTTTAATTTTTCAGTCTAACGACCTCCAACAATCGAAAACTTAAATAACTGAAAAGGACTGTGCGCGCGGTGAGGGGGGAGGGGGGGTGCAAATGCTAATATTTAAGAGAAGAAAACGCCCCAAATCTCATCAAAGTCCACAATACACAAAATATGTGTGCTTTTCTTTTGTGTGTGTATTAGTACAACAACTACACACTGATCGTAGAAAAATTAAAGCAAAGTTAAAGAATGGCCAAACAATTTAGGAAGGCAAAGCCCAATGAGCTACAAATAAATGCTTTACAAAAGGCACTCAAGGGTGTGTCCTAGTAGTTAATGAAGTGGAAGGAAAACCATGTGGTTCCAGGTTCAAATCCAAGTAGAGGCAAAGCCCAAGTCTTGGTGGCCACACTTATTCGGTACATATGCTGGTGGTAGGTAGTCGAGGTGTATAGAAGCTGGTCCAAACACCATATTCATAAAAAAAATTGCTCAACAAAAAGATAGTACTAATAGACAATCTATAATACAAAGCATAGAAGGGGGAAAAAAAAGAGTATTACTTCAATGAGACAAAGTAAAAATCTTGTAACACCAAAAAAGGACCAACTTTATCCTTCTTTGCACATAACAAATCAGATTACCAAAATCCAAATTGATCAAAACAAGAAATAAATTAAACACAAGCACAATCGTAAAGGTAGAGTAATAAAGAGCCCGGGGGGGG